TAGGAAATGTAAGCAGATGTTCCAACAACACCAGGAGAGAACAATGAGCACAAAATAAAAGGTTTATTAATGCTTGTTGATTAACTTACATATTTGAGGAACTGGCTGACAGTCTAACCCTATAGGAAAAGCAAAGCGTTGAAAATCAGAAAAGTAAACTATTTTCCAAGTAGTTTTACATGGATGTCAAATCATAATCAGGCTGTTTTCCACATGATTGTCAACAGTAATAAAATATTTTGCCAATGGACAGTGTGCTAGATAATTTGGAGGGGTACAGGAGGACGGGATACCAGGGATTGAACTCAGGGGCACTTGACCACTGAGCCACATCCCCAGCCCTATTTTGTATTTTATTTAGAGACAGGGTCTCACTGAGTTGCTTAGTGCCTCGCTTTTGCTGAAGCTGGCTTTGAATTGGTGATCCCCCTGCCTCAGCCTCCTGAGCCACTGGGATTACAAGCTTGGTACAGACATACGCTACCGCGCCTGGCTTGAATAATGTTTTTTAAAAGTTACTCTTGGCTCAGCGAATTCAGACAAATTGAAAAGGGAGAAGTGTTAAGTGACATCACTGTCTTGAATATCACCATACTAAACTTGCCAGTTCCCCAGTTCAAGACTTCCAGAAACTAGATACAAACTAGATACAGGCACAATGGCACATGCTTTTAACCCCAGCAGCTCAGGAGGCTGAGCCAGCCTCAGCAACTTCCCAAGGTTGTAAACAACCTCATGAGACCCTGTCTCAAAATAAAAAATCAAAAGGGCTGGGAATATGGCTCAGTGGTTAAGTGCCCCTGGATTCAATTCCCAGCACACATTTAAAAAAAAAAAAAAAAAAAAAGTTCTGCTAACTACATTTTTATCAAAGGCAAAGCTAAGCCTTGGTCACTTGACTAAAATGTGACCATTTTAATAATTAGCACTTATCAAAACTATTTTTCAAGGCAGTGGGAATCAAAAAATAGGAAAAGAATAAAATGGCTATAATATAACATGTCTGCAACATATTACAGATTATATGTAAACATATATCAATAGATGTTATGAGCTACTCTCTTGCTTACTGGCCTCTTCCATTTTCTCCAAGCTTCAGATATTTCTTGGTTTAACTTTAGATCTGGGGGTACCTGAAAGGAGCCAGGTCCTCTCCAGTGCGCACCTATCACATTCCAAGAAACAAAAGGGATGCCATTCTTTGGAGCGGCTCCTGCCACGCTATTGCTCAAGGCAGTGATCTTAATGCAGTGGCAGGTTTTTCCACACTGTGCAATCCAGGGAGCTGTGGCCCAAGGGCAGCTGTAAAACCCACGTGTTAGAATAACTTAGATTGCTTGTGATAGATTAAATAAACAAACATACAATGAACCAACTATACAGCACAGAACTCTGACCCACAGAGAAACAGGTAACCTCCATCCTGTTCTGCTCACAACTGTCAGGACGAACTCAGAGGCTGATGACTTCCTCACTTCTGCCTCTACTTCCAAACCTGGACAACTGGAGAACCCCAAAGAAACTCCCCATTACTAGATGACCCTCTTCCAACCAAATATACTCCCCAAGTCAATCACATAAGATGCTCCATTTCTAGTTATTCCTCCTGAAGCTTCCCCATGACAACCACCTCCAATCAGGGATACCCTAAAAAACCCACCCACACCTTTTTTTTAATATTTATTTTTTAGTTGTAGTTGAATGCGATACCTTTATTTTATTTATTTATTGTTATGTGGTGCTGAGGATCCAACCCAGGGCCTCCCTCATGCTACAGGGTTGCTTAACCACTGAGCCACATCCCCAGCCCTTTAATTATATATTTTATTTAGAGACAGGCTCCTTACTTTCCTTAGGGTCTCGCTAAACTGCTGAGGCTGGCTTTGAACTCAAGATACTCCTGCCTCAGCCTGCCAAGCTGCTGAGATTATAGGTGTGYACCCAGTGCTGTGATAGTAATTTCTGAATATAGAGTTTGTTCTGAAGGGTGGTCTTCATTTATTCCCATGTATGAATGATGTTTGTGCAGAGTACCATGATTAATGTACAAACAGAAAAAAGCCAGACCTTCAGCTATCCACAATGTGATGTACTTTTGTAACTACCTGAGAACTCCAGGCCCCTAGTTGTGTTGGAAGGGCTTTTATGTCTTCGAAGGATGTACATAAAAATCTTAATATATTGATATTTTAAAAACATTAATTTGTGCTTACAGAAAGATTACCAATTTAATTTTTTGTTTTTAAGTTGAGAAACTGTGTACATCTCAATTCCATTTRATTTTTCAGTGTTTATAAGTTAATATGCACTCTTAGTCCTTAGCCGCCCCCTTCTTTTTTTCATACTTGGAGCCTTACCACTGAGCTACAACCCCAATCCTTTTTGTTTTTCAGTTTGAGACAAGGCCTCGTAAATTCGTGAAGCTTTGCTAAATTCCTGAGGCTGGCCTGGAACTTGCCATCCTCCTGCCTCAGCCTCGGAGTCATAAGATTATAAGCGTGGGCCACCGTGCCCCACATGACTCCGGTTTTTTAGAAAACACACACACACCTAGGAAAAGGTTATGGGGGAGAACAAGGGATGTCTATTATCTAAAATATATTTCCTACAATGAATATGTCTTTTATATAATTTTAAAATCCGGAAACATTGCTGAGTTAATTTCCTTATGTTCTCATCTATCTAGAAATATGGATTTTCTCCATCTGCATCTTTTCCTCAAACTGTGCAACCTCAACCCTCATATTAACTATTTCTAAATGAATTTATTGAATTAAATTTCAAGTGTGAGGAAAACATAATCCAGGGAGCAGTTAATAAAAGTCGTTTTCATCCTTCCCAACCGCTGCTTCTCTCCTTATTAAWATTTMTCTGCAAATAATTTCTAGTGGGCTTCAGAAAGGCTGGAGGGGAAAGAATCCCAGAACGAATGCCACTCCTTCGCAAGAGWCCCCTTCCCTCCAATAGTCCCTTTTGGCACCTAGGATTGGGACCTCGCCTGTTGAAAATTGCTCTCGCTACCAGATTCTTCTAAAATCCAGTCGCAGGCCACCCAGAACCTGGGAAAGAACGCGTCTGCGCGGGGCTCCGCGTTCCTCCACCGGCCGGGATTACACCGGCACCACCAGCGTAGACTGGCCCTGGACCCTGCAGGACTCTTTAACCCCCAAACCGCAGGTCCAAAGGAAAAGTGGGGTTAGGATGCAAATCCGCAGAGCCTGCTTTAGGTTTCTTTTCACGAGCCACCCGCCCAGAGCAACGAGGCGGGGAACTTGATTGATCTCAGCCGGTCCGGGGCGGCTCCTGCCCCTCCTCTGCCCCGGGTCGCCCACGTCCCCGGGGGTCAGCGAGGCGCGCCCCGCCCGCAGACTGATAGGAACCCGCCCGCGTCACGCGCAGGGAATCGGAGCGCCCKCAGGCCCCGCCCAGCGGCCGGCCCAGCCAATCGCAATGCGCGAAGGCGGCGTGGGCGGGGCCAGGCAGGCCGCAGACCTGGGGCTTTAAAGTCCGAGACAGGCCCGCTGGGCCAGATGCTCGGACCTCGGCGACCTCTGGGGAGCTGCGTGTGCGGAGTGCGCCTGCGCAGCTGCGGCCGCCCAGGTGAGCGCCCCCGGCCGGGCGCGGCGCGGCGCGGTGCGTGGTGGGGCTGGAGGGGACCCGGCGGACGCGGTCTAGAGGCGGGCGACCCCGGGAACTGGGGCGTCTGTCCAAAGCTCTGCCATCCTTGGGGCGGGGAAGCGGGGGAGGGCGGTTGGGGAACCGAGGAGGGGGCCGAAGCCACCGGTCAGGGGTCTCGGATTGTGCGGCGCTTTCGGCGGTCGCGCCCCGGAGAGCACAGGTTCCGAGGCCGGGTGGCCCCAGGCCGCGCCGTCTCGGGGCCTGGCCGGGCCATCCCGGGCAGCTGGACCGGGCTCCCGGGTCGCGGTGCCATCGCTCCCGGCGCCGCCATGACTCCCGCTGGCCGTGGCTGCGRGGGCGCAGGGGGAGCGGGCGGCGCGCCCCGGCCGGCCTGCCCGGGGAGGAAGCCCGGGGTTGGGTTCTCCCGGCTCATCCCGACTCTGCCCACCTGCGGGCACCCGCCGGCAGGGCGGTGCGGGATGGCCTCCTGGGATCCGATGCCCTCGCGCGGGGCTCTGCCTGGGTGATCGAGGCACTGTCGCTCCATAACCTGGACCAGCCATCTCCTTGTTTCCTAGTTGTTGTCCCAATCACAAGGTATCGTGAGACTAACCGAAACCTGAATTGTCATCACACTCTGGGAATGGCAGTGACTTCTCACTATTGTAACACTTGTCAGGCTGTTTTTTGTTTTGGTAGCTGGACCAAATAACCTTTTTTTTTTTTTTTTTTTTTTTTTTTGGTTTTTA